CCCTGAATGAGTGGGGGTGTCCACCCCCATTATTCCTAGCCCCCTGTTTCTTTTTCCTTTTTTTCATACTGTTACCCTACTTTGTGATCTATATCCCTACTATAGAAATCATAGACTTAAAAGAGAGTTGATGGGACTCTAGAAGTCCTCTAGTGCAGCTTCCTGTCAGGCAGGAATGCCTCACTGACATCCCAACAGGTGGCCACTCAGCCCCTACTTACAGCATTTTTGCAGAACACACAAAATTCAATTAGCCGGATCTCTGTGCCTCTATGAAATTAGTGAGAATGGAGTGGACTAGATAATCTCTAGGGTCCTTCTGGAGCAGAGGTTCCTCAAGTCTATGTTTTTCCCAAAACTTCTACTTCCCAGGAGAAGTGCTCCCAGTTCTGTCATCTAGGCTGTGTATCCCACTAGTAAGATCACAGTTCTGGTCACTCTCATCTGGGGAAACTTGTTTCTCAGTGTCCTTCTTAAGAATTCTGACCCGGAGCTGAGGTTGTGGCTCAGTGGTAGCGCATGTATGACACACTGGGTTCAATTCTCAGCACCATATACAAATAAATAAAATAAAGGTCCATCAAAAACTAAAAAATATTTTAAAAAAATTCTGACCCATGCAGAGTCCAAACACTTTGCTTTTTTTCAGCACATTAGTGTTGATTGGTGTTGAAAAACGTCACCTAAACCTCACTGTGAGCTTGTGCTCAGTTATATCCCCAGGACATTCTCACACCAGCTATCAAGGCTCACTCATCCTGTATTTATGCAATTAACTTATTTTTTTCAGTTTCTGATGATCTCTATAGAACTTTTCCATTTTCCTCTTCAGAATCTGTCTTAATATTTTTGTTTTATTATTCTAACTTTTTTCCCCAGTACTGATTAGCGTCTGAGGAACTACCCTTCTATGTTAGTTTCTTAAGCTGCTGTAAAAAATTACCACAAACTAAGCCTGGTGTGGTAGCATATGCCTGTAATCCTAGTAACTCTGGAGGCTGAAGCAGGAGGACTGCAAGTTCAAGGCCAGTCTGGGGAACTTAGTGAGAACTTATCTCAAAATAAAAAATATGGAAGAACTGGGGATATAGTTCAGTGGTAGGATGTACGGGGACAGAGGGGGATTACCACAAACTGGGTCACTTAGAGCAACAGAAATGTATTCTTTGACAATTCTGGAGGTCAGAAGTCCAAAATAAAAATTAGCAGGGCCACATTTCCTCTGAAGCACAAAGAACAGTCCTTTCTTGCTTCCTCATAGCTCCTTGGAGGTTGCTGGCAGGCCACGGTTTCTAGCTGCATCCATCTAGCTTTTGCCTTCACCTTCATATGGCGAGCTCCTTCTGCATGTCTCATGTCTCCAAATCTCTCCTTATAATAGAAACACCAATTATTGTTTTAAGGGTCCACCCTATCCAGTATGTCCTTAATTTGACTATATCTGTAAGGACCATATTTCCAAATAGGATCATATTCACAAGATTTAGATAGACGATGAATGTGGGAGAGACTCTCTTCAATCCAGTACAGCTTCTCAGCTGTACAATTGTTGTCTGGATCCCACTTTCTCATTGTCTCCTCTTTTGGTGTCTCCATCTCACTGTCCTCTCCCTTTTATCTACCCTACCCACCATCCCCACACCAGGACAACAGCCGCCGGGTGGATAATGTGCTGAAGCTGTGGATCATAGAGGCACGGGAACTGCCCCCTAAGAAGCGGTACTACTGCGAGCTCTGCCTAGATGACATGCTGTATGCACGCACCACGTCCAAGCCCCGCTCAGCCTCTGGGGACACCGTCTTCTGGGGCGAGCACTTCGAGTTTAATAACCTGCCGGCTGTCCGCGCCCTGCGGCTGCATCTGTACCGTGACTCAGACAAAAAGCGCAAGAAGGACAAGGCAGGCTATGTAGGCCTGGTGACTGTGCCCGTGGCCACCCTGGCTGGGCGCCACTTCACAGAGCAGTGGTACCCTGTGACCCTGCCAACAGGCAGTGGAGGGTCTGGGGGCATGGGTTCGGGAGGGGGAGGAGGCTCGGGGGGTGGCTCAGGGGGCAAGGGCAAAGGAGGTTGCCCGGCTGTGCGGCTGAAGGCACGTTATCAGACAATGAGTATCTTGCCCATGGAGCTGTACAAAGAGTTTGCAGAATATGTCACCAACCATTATCGGATGCTGTGTGCAGTATTGGAACCTGCCTTGAATGTCAAGGGCAAGGAAGAGGTTGCCAGCGCACTGGTTCACATCTTGCAGAGTACAGGAAAGGCCAAGGTAAGTGCCGTGCCCTCAGGGAAAAGTGGCTTGGGAATGGGCACTGACGTGGAGGGCAGAGAGGACAGGGCACACTTGCAAAATTGGGTTGTGCAGAGGCTGATCCTTGAATTTTCTTGGGTCCCAGGACTTCCTTTCAGACATGGCCATGTCAGAGGTAGACCGGTTCATGGAACGGGAGCACCTCATATTCCGCGAGAACACGCTCGCCACTAAAGCCATAGAAGAGTATATGAGATTGATTGGTCAGAAATACCTCAAGGATGCCATTGGTATGGTTCACCTTCAGGCCCTCTTCCCAAATCTGCCAGATGCCTACCCCAGCCCTAAACTTGGTTACCCCAGATCTCAAGTCCAGAGCCCAGGACCCCAGCCTCCAACCACCTGGTTCTGAGATTCCTCCAACCCAGGCAGCTCCCTACCCCTGCCCTTGGAAAGAATGACAACTTTCTCTTGTGCCCCTATTCCTCAGGGGAGTTCATTCGTGCTCTGTATGAATCTGAGGAGAACTGTGAGGTAGACCCCATCAAGTGCACGGCATCCAGTCTGGCAGAGCACCAGGCCAACCTGCGGATGTGCTGTGAGTTGGCCCTGTGCAAGGTGGTCAACTCCCATTGGTGAGACTGGGAACGCTGGGCTGGGGGGCCAGGGTTGGGGCAGTTGTGTGTTCATCTGTTCATCCATCTGTCCATCCTCAAAGAGGACTGAGCACCAGTTATGGGCAAAGCATTCTGGGTGCTGTAGAACAGAAGTGAATGTGCCTGGTCCCTGCCCTCAGAGGGCCTCTACCAGAATGAGTAGAAATCAAATGAGATGCACAGAAAACCACAGAACCATTGTAGTACGTGTGAAGTGCTGAGTAAGAGCCCCACCCCCACCCCCATGTAACATCAGGACTGAGAAGGTAGAGCTTTGATTGAGATAAGCAAAAAGAACTGCCTGGTGCTGGGCTTTGAAGATTGGGTTAGGTGCTGATGTTTGCACATGGTGGGAAAGAGACATTTCAGAAGGCTGTGGGACAGGCATGTGTGGGAAGGTGAGAAGGCCCAGGAGCTTTCGAGGGACAGTAACTAGAACAGGTTTAATAATGGAAATAGTAGGAAAAATATGTGGATGTGGGATTAGAGTTAGAATCTAGAAGGCCTCAAGTTAAGGAGTTTGAGTTCATCAGTAGATCATAGGATGCCATTAAAGGTGTAGGCACCAGGAATTTTCATGATTGAGAAGATGAATCCATAAGTAGAGTGGAGTGTGGGGGTTGACCAGAGTATGGAAAATGAAGTTCAGGCTATTGGGGACCGCTGTTAATGGGTTAGGAATGAAAATCAGATCTTAAATCAGGACAGTGATAAGAAATTTAGCAAGAGGCCACTGTTAAGGGCCCTCTGAGGGAAAGATCAGCAAGAGTTGTTAACTGATTGCAAAGGAGGGGGCCTGTCTGTGGGGAGTCAAGGATGACTCAAGAGGCCATGAGGCTGTAGCTGGGAGACTGGTGGCCTCATTGACAGAACCAGGAAAGTCAGGAGGAGGAGTCAGTTGAGGTGTGGGGGCGATGGTGAGCTCCGTTTTACACTAGTCAAGTTTAAGGTGTCAGTAGGACATTGAAATGGAACTGGGAGGTGGGGAGAGTGAGCTCTGAGCCATTCCAGGGACTGGGGATCATGCCTGGGGCACGTCCATCCCCATTTCCCTGGAATCCAGAAGAGTTGGGGGGTCCGAGCTCCCTGTACCTCAAGTGACCCTCCATCTCTCTCCCATCTCTGTCTCTCCCTGGTGTCTGTTTTTCTTCTCCTCCTCTCCTTGTCTCTCTCACACATCCCTCCATCTCTCTCCCATGTGTCTCTCTCCCCTCGCCTTCTCTCCCTTTCCATTTCTCTCTCCCAAATCTGTCTGTTCCCTCTACCGTGGCCCTCTTCTTCCAGCAGCCTCCTGTCTTCCTCCTGCAGTCCCTCCTTCCCTGTCTCTCTTACCTCTGTTTCCACACCCTCACCTCCTACCACCCCCCTCAGCATGTTCCCTGGAAGCTGAGGGTCTCTGGGGCTCAGTCCCGGTCTCTCTCTTTCTTTCTCTCTCTCTCTGTCTCCCCACCCCTTCCCCCCAGCGTGTTCCCGAGGGAGCTGAAGGAGGTGTTTGCATCTTGGCGGCTGCGCTGCGCAGAGCGGGGCAGGGAGGACATCGCCGACAGGCTGATCAGCGCCTCGCTCTTCCTGCGCTTCCTCTGCCCAGCCATTATGTCGCCCAGTCTTTTTGGGCTCATGCAGGAGTACCCAGATGAGCAGACCTCACGAACCCTCACCCTCATTGCCAAGGTCATCCAGAACCTGGCCAACTTTTCCAAGTGAGGGAAGCTTCAGGCATGGGTGGAGGGTGGGCAGGAAGGGTCTCCTGAGTCCCCAGAGACCCTGAGATGGGTAGATGTAAGGCCTTCTGTACAAGTGTGACCTCTCCCTTCTGGACCCCTTGGCCAGGTTTACCTCAAAGGAGGACTTTCTGGGTTTCATGAATGAGTTTTTGGAGCTGGAGTGGGGTTCCATGCAGCAGTTCCTGTACGAGATCTCCAACCTGGACACGCTGACCAACAGCAGTAGCTTTGAGGGCTACATCGACTTGGGCCGAGAGCTCTCCACATTGCATGCCCTACTCTGGGAGGTGCTGCCCCAGCTCAGCAAGGTCAGCAAGTGCTCCCTGTGCCCCATTGCTAGATGTTGCCAGAGGCACTTGGGGCCTGAGAAACTACTCCCCTGCACAGATTTTTCTCCCCTGCCTGTTCCCTGAGATGTCATACCACTACTCCTACCCAGACATCCTCCACCTGCACCTTCCAAGGCCCTCTTAGAGCCCACCAGTAATAGCCTTGCCCTTCCAGGAAGCCCTTCTGAAGCTGGGCCCACTACCCCGGCTCCTCAACGACATCAGCACAGCCCTAAGAAACCCCAACATCCAAAGGCAGCCAAGCCGCCAGAGTGAGCGGCCCCGGCCGCAGCCCGTGGTGCTGCGGGGGCCGTCAGCTGAGATGCAGGGCTACATGATGCGGGACCTCAACAGGTGAGCCCTCTGGGGGTCCCTGCCCTTATGTCCTAGGAACCCCATCTCTTCTATTCTGGATATTCTCACTGGGCCCCTTGTGCATCTCTAGGGCTTGAAAGGAAGGGATAAAGCAGCAAGTTCTCAGGGGAAAATGTTAAGGAGATAGGTACAGGCAGTGGGAGCCCTTCAAAGCCAGAGGGAACAAGGAACACAGCCCCAGAAGTGCCAAGGCTCCTCCAGCTCCCAGCTTAGTTGTAAGCCAAGGGGATCCCCATTACAGGCTCTTACTTGCTTTGTTCCTCTGCCCACCCGTGCTTGTCTCCAGGCTGAGGTTGAGCCAGTGTACATTGGCTCAGCCATGGGGTGTCAAAATAATCAAACATCTCTGTATGACTCAGAAAATAAGGATCCCCCCCCTCCGGCCTACCACCAGAACCCCGCAGACCTCCCCAAGATCCAGCACTTAGAGAAGCAGCAGCTGGAAGTCTAGCAGCCCCCAGATCCTGTTCTGGAACCTCAGCATTTGTTCTGAAAACTTCAGCATTTGTTCTGATGGGGCAGGCCCCCGGCCTTATTTGATGATCACCCTGCTGTTCTCTGCCCGTGTCTTTCCCTCTGTGATGCCATACCCATTCACCATTCCCACTGCTCCTGCCATCCATCCATGCCTTGCTCCTTCTCTCTGTCTGTGCTCGCCCCTCTTTCCATCTCTCTCCAGCTCCATCGACCTTCAGTCCTTCATGGCTCGAGGCCTCAACAGGTGAGGGGCTCTCCCCTCCCCAGCCCTCCTCTCCTCTCCTGTCAGCTCCCTCTCCCCCTCCTGACCTTCACCCTCCTCCTCTCCTCTCCTCAGTGCACCTCATCTCCTTCATATTTTCCCAGACTGCCCTCATCCCTCCTCTTGCTGCCCCCATTTCCCTTCCTCTAGGCCTCACCCTTTCCCAGAGGGGCCTTGTCCTTTCCCTTTTCCCACCTTTTCCGTCCCATCCTCCCTGACTACCTCTTTAGGGCTGTCACCACTGGCTCTCAGCCCTTCCCTGTGGGTCCCAATTTTCACCTAAGGTCCATACCAGCTCCAGGAGGCTCAGTTGCCTGTAGCCTAGCTTTACCCTGCTTGTGTGTCTGTCCCCTTTCCTTTGACAGCTCTATGGACATGGCTCGTCTCCCCTCCCCAACCAAGGAAAAGCCACCCCCACCACCCCCTGGTGGGGGTAAAGATCTGTTCTACGTGAGCCGACCACCACTGGCCCGGTCCTCCCCAGCATACTGCACAAGCAGCTCGGACATCACAGAGCCAGAGCAGAAGATGCTGAGTGTCAACAAGAGTGTGTCCATGCTGGACCTGCAGGGCGATGGGCCCGGTGGTCGCCTCAACAGCAGTAGTGTTTCCAACCTGGCAGCTGTCGGGGACCTGCTGCATTCAAGCCAGGCCTCACTCACAGCGGCCTTAGGGCTGCGGCCTGCTCCTGCTGGACGCCTCTCCCAGGGGAGTGGGTCGTCCATCACAGCGGCGGGCATGCGCCTCAGCCAGATGGGTGTCACCACGGACGGTGTCCCTGCCCAGCAACTGCGCATCCCCCTCTCCTTCCAGAACCCTCTCTTCCACATGGCTGCTGATGGGCCAGGGCCCCCAGCGGGCCATGGAGGGAGTGGTGGCCATGGCCCACCCTCTTCCCATCACCACCACCACCACCATCACCACCACCGAGGTGGAGAGCCCCCAGGGGACACCTTTGCCCCATTCCATGGCTATAGCAAGAGCGAGGACCTCTCCTCAGGGGTCCCCAAGCCCCCTGCAGCCTCCATCCTTCATAGCCACAGCTACAGTGATGAGTTTGGACCCTCTGGCACTGACTTCACCCGACGGCAGCTCTCACTCCAGGACAACCTTCAGCACATGCTGTCCCCTCCCCAGATCACCATTGGTCCCCAGAGGCCAGCCCCCTCAGGGCCCGGAGGTGGGAGTGGTGGGGGCAGTGGTGGGGGTGGTGGGGGGCAGCCACCTCCGTTGCAGAGGGGAAAGTCTCAGCAGTTGACAGTCAGTGCTGCCCAGAAACCCCGGCCATCCAGCGGGAACCTTTTACAGTCTCCAGAGCCGAGTTATGGCCCTGCCCGTCCACGACAACAGAGCCTCAGCAAGGAGGGCAGCATTGGGGGCAGCGGTGGCAGTGGTGGCGGAGGGGGTGGGGGGCTGAAGCCCTCCATCACCAAGCAGGTAGGTGAAGGGAAGAGGAAGCAGGGTGGGTGAAGGCAACAGTGGAGGTGGAGCAATCTGTGCCCTAAGGTTTTGATTTTCTCATCACCTTTCATAAATTAAAACAATGTGTGTTCAGGGGCCGCAGTGTGACATGTGCTGTTGGGGCACCATGGAGATGATGGTGAACAGACATAAATGCTTGCTCTGATAGCACTCATTCCAGAGAGGAGACGTGATCAATCGCTTCTCTAGCCCCTGGGGTTAGGGTGGGGACCCGGGATACCCCCTAAAGCAGGGGAACAGGCCTGGGACTGTCCTGTCTTTTGGCTGTGTTCTCTCCCTCTGAATGTGCCCTGCCTTTTCCCACCTTGCCTTGTCCCAGCATTCTCAGACACCATCCACGCTGAACCCCACAATGCCAGCCTCTGAGCGGACTGTGGCCTGGGTCTCCAATATGCCTCACCTGTCGGCTGACATCGAGAGTGCCCACATTGAGCGGGAAGAGTACAAGCTCAAGGAGTACTCAAAATCGATGGATGAGAGCCGGCTAGATAGGGTATGCTGGTACCTGCCATCCAAAGTCTCAGTTTTTCCTTTCACCCATAGGGGAGACCTGTAGGTCATTCCAAGGGAATCATCTAGGCTTAGGCAGTTATAATAGAAAGAAAAGACAAAAACTGATCCCCTCTTGAGAAGCTTTCAGTCCATAAGGAGAACCCGACATAATCAGTCTGCTTAAAAGCCAACTCAGCTACACTGTAGACTATCTAGGGAGAAACATGTTCTATTCTAGGCTTGCCACGATGTTCTTCCCTAGGGAAGCCAAAGCTCTACTCCTGTTACTGCTCAGGAAAGGAAGTGACTTCCCTAGCAGTGGGAGCTACTTAGTAGGGCTGAGGCAGAGGGGATTGTGGTTGTACTACAGGTGATGTCTGGGTTATCCACTTACTGTCCCTTAGGAATAGGTGGCAAAGGCTTGATGGGCAGGGGTCTTTCAAATTGCTCCTGTTCTGGGCTTCAGATGCAGAATCCTTGAGAAAGGCTCCAGACTAGCACTTTCTAGAACATTCTGAAGTTATGAAAATGTTCTGTAATATGCACTATTTGGTATGGTAGCTACATGTGGCTAGTGGCTACTCTATTAGACATTGGTTTTTTGTGATTCAGAACTAAATTTTTAGTGTTAGTTTTAAATAGCTACATATGGGCTAATGAGGTAACTGAGTGATGGTTTGTGCTTAGTCTGTGTGAGGCCCTAGGTTTGATCCCCAGAACTACAAAAATAAAAGTAAAATAAATAGGTACACGTGGCTTAGGTCTATCATATTAGCATAGCTCTAAGCTCTAGAGCTAGTAGGGCAGATAAAATGATTCTTCTGAGCTCTCTTGTTCCCAGAATTCCAGGGTCAGATTAGCAGAAAGGCATTCCTAAATTCTCAGCCTGAGATTCCCTTAAGATCACCTATCCCCAGGATAGCTAAGGAAGGAGTGTAAGATAGTACTCACCCCTCCTGCATCCAATGTCTTGCCCTCTTTCTCTCATGTGCTCATTCCTAGCTTGGGGCTGGAAAGTCACTTTTTAATTTCTGGGTTTGTTTATTTAAGGTGTGCCTATGGGTAGGTTGCTCTGTGGGTCCTCATGTGTTCCAGTGGACACACTTCTCAAGGCATAGGTCTATGACCTTGCTCCATCTTGAAGGAGCCTTAGCATCATGGCAGGGCATTCTCAAAAGCAGGCCTGAGTGAGTGTAATCCACAGGCAGAGAAAGGGTTGATGTCCTTCCCCATGCGATGGCTGTGCTGGGCAGACAGGGATGGGGGCTGGGTGGCTGAATGGGGCAGGGCACCTCTCACAGTGCGGGGTCTTGTGCCCGGCGGGCAGGTAAAGGAGTACGAGGAAGAGATCCATTCACTGAAGGAGCGGCTGCACATGTCCAACCGGAAGCTGGAAGAGTATGAGCGGAGGCTGCTGTCCCAGGAAGAACAGACCAGCAAAATCTTGATGCAGTATCAGGCCCGACTAGAACAGAGTGAGAAGAGGCTGAGGCAGCAGCAGGTGGAGAAGGATTCTCAGATCAAGAGCATCATTGGCAGGTGAGGGGCGGCCTGGGGAGGGGTAGCAAGGGAGAGCCTGAAGCTGAAGGGAGTGAGAGAGTGAGCTACTCCTCAGACCCCTGTGCCCATCTCAGGAGACCACCAGGAGAGCCTGCCACTCTCTCCCAGGGAGACAACCCACTCATCTCCTGCTTAGGGCATTAAATGTTTCTTTGCTAAACCCTGACGTTTCTTCTGGTAGAGTAACTTTTGAAGCCCTTGGAAAATATGGCAGGTACTGTCCAACCATCACTGTATCTGCACAGAGCCTGGGTCAGAAAACTTTGGTTGATTATTCTCAATGCAGTCTGTGAAGTTCACCCCAAAGCTGAGGAGGGATCCCTAGCCAGAGGAGCCCCTGAGCATCCCCATCTTGGGCACAGCCTCCCTTTCTAGCCTTGGTAAGGGATGCCATCAGAATGGGCCATTTACCCTGCACATGTTTCACCAAGCCCTGGATTCCAAAGGAGGTATCTTAGCAAGGGGATCAGTTATCTTAAAAACAGGGGGTGAGAACACCCAACCCTGTTCCAACCAGAACCAGTTCCATTTTGATCCATTAAAAATGTATTTCTGCATAAGACTTAGAATACATTGGAATAAAAGGGCTTCTTGACCTGAAACTTTTTTTTGAAACCACTGTTGTAATTGATACCATTTATGAGAGAGAACCTTGAGAGTCTTCACCAAAGTCAGGGAGATGCTGGGAATGATAAGGCTTGTAACAGGGACTCCTCCTGGGCTGGGAGGTACCCCAAGTTCTGCCACTGGAGGTGGCCTAAGTTCACTGAGGTGGCATAAAAGCCTGATCTTTAGCCTCAAAAGTTCTAAAGGAGGGGTACTGCTGTCTCTGTTGGGAAGGGGGCTGAGGGTGTCTGGGTGGTAGTAGTCTTTGAGGCATAGAAAGCTACCCTAACCAGAGAGATACCTGAGGGTCTGGACCCTGAGAGGAAGGCAGAGAGTAGCACCCTGAGTGACAGGGAGTCTTTTGAGTCATGACAGTGGAGGGATTTTAAAAAGGGGAGAAGGATTCCTGAGGCTTTTCCAGAAAGCTGCAGGGGTTTCCAGGATCAGGAGTTCCATGAACAGGCTCCAAGCCCGTGCCCGCCACTAACCCCACTGAAGCCCGTCCCTTCAGGCTGATGCTGGTGGAGGAGGAGCTGCGCCGGGACCACCCCGCCATGGCTGAGCCGCTGCCTGAACCCAAGAAGAGGCTGCTCGACGCTCAGGTGGAAATTACAATGTCATTTATCTTCTCCGTGTCCCATCCCCATCCATCCCACTGTCCTTTGTGCTCTCACTGCACCAGCCACCCCAACCCCATCGCCATCTGTCTCTTATTGTCCTCTGTTTGTCTACTTGCCACTCCACTCAGCCCCCCAGTGACCCATCTTCATTCCATCGTCTGTGCCTTTGTCACTCCTGGCAGTGTCAACCCCACCCCGTGACTTCCTGCCCCATCCTCCCACTCCTTTCTGCGGCTCAGGACCTTCTCCCAGATCCTCACCCTTTCTGTCCCTAGACCCCTCCCAGTTCCTAGAAGCCCTGCCTGTTTGCCCTGTTGAAGGCAGGAGTTCACTTTCCTCTGAGCTCTTCTTGGGTGAGGAGGGCTAGAAGTTGCTCTTTGCTGGAATGGAGCCCAGAGCAGTCTGAGTGGTAGTTTCCCCAGGCCCTGGAGACTTGGGATCTGGGATCCCTATACCTTTGTTCTCCTGGCTCCCCATTCTGACTCCTTGGCAGCTTCTGTAGAGCCCCCTCTTCCTGGCTCTTCAGACCTTGAAGGCCTCCCTGGAACTTCCCACCCCATCCCAATCCCTCAGTGTTTCAAGTCTAGCTTCCCTTTGGCCTTCCTCCCACTCAGGCCTCACACCTGACTGACCCTCCAGCTCCCTGCCACCACCCTCTGCTCACCTCAGTCATGGTGAGCCTGAGGTTCCACATCTTACCCTTTGCTTTCCCAAAATTTTGGTCTTTCCTACCCATATTCCTCCTTCCTCTCTCTGACCACCAGGCCTCTCCACCCCCACCACCAAGGCTCCTGACCCCATCACCCCACTCTCTCCCCCTGCAGCTCCTCATCAGGTAATTCTCCTGGTTCCGCTTTGACCACTGGCGGAGGACACAGGGGGAGGTGACTCCGGACCACTACAGGTTGGTCGTGAAGCCTACCCCCTCCACTCTCCAGTGCCTCTCCCCCATCACTGCTGCCCTCTGCCCCCAGAGAACCTCCACAGTCTCCACCTCCTGACACCTCCAGCACAGACCCATCTCCCAAGGTATACTACTCAGAGACCACATGCTGATCCCTCCCTGCAACTGCCCCTGGAGGCCTTAGCAATAATTTGACCCTAAATAGACCCAGCACATTCACAAGTCACACCCCTTCCCTCCAGGCACACCTTTCCCATCCTCCTCCTAACTCTGCACCCTCCTCTTCCTCTACCTCTCCAGTGTATGTCTGTCACCCCCCATTTCACCAGAGCGTCCTTGGGGGTTGGGCTTTATTAATGGGGTGGAGGTGATGCTGGGTTGGGGGACCTTGGCTATAGGGGCTGTGCCGATTGCAGCAGGTAGGTTGGGGTTTCCTCCTCCTTCCCTAATCCTGGTTCTCTACCCTCTCCTTCTTCCCATTCCTCTTCTCTCACTCTTTCTCCCTTATACCTGTGAGGTAGAAGGCATTTGGGGTTCATGTTAGTCCCCAACTGGGTGGGAATTGGGAGTGGGCAGTTAATTCAAGGGGACTTTGAGGGGCTCTGGAAAAGTCTGTTGAGGTATCCTGATAGTAGGCAGGGTGGGTGGAACAAGGAGCAAGGAACCTTGGACAGTGTTAGGACATGAACTGCCCTTGTGGCCTGGGAGTTACATCATGGGCTTAGTGGCCATGTTCTTTCCCAGGCAGAACTGATAGGAAAAGCATATCAAATAACCTCTATTCCTGTAAGAGCTCACATCTTGGGTTGCTAATGCCACTCATTACCCCCACCCCTCCTGCCACCCAGTGGTCTTACTGGACACAATCCTACCTAAAAAGCCAGTAAATGGGAACCTGTCAGCCATAGACATCATTTCTGAGATGCTTTATTTATGTGGGATTGATCTGCAGTGGGCAGTGGCTCCTCACACTGTAATTTTAACTCTCTGCCTGCCCAGCCTCTCTGTCAAAGTAGTTAGTGATCTGTAAACAGATGCTAAAAGGCACCAGGGGACCTTGCCATTTAAAAGACTCCTGCAGTGAATTCTTTTGTAAAATGAATAATGGCACCCTAATTTATCTTCTTTCTAAATTTGGGTCCATGGGGGTGTAGGGGGCTTGCCCATGTGCTGTCACCAGCAGACAAGTGGAGGGAAGGAAATTTGAGGATTCCTTTCCCTGCTCTCCCGCCACACTCAGGCTACCCTACCACATGCATTTTCCTCCCCCTCTGACTGGCAATGTGAGATACCAGTGAACTAAGAGGGAAGCTTTGCCTAAGATTGGGGTTTGGGTGACCTGAGAGGTGAGTCCTGGATCCTGGGATGGAAAGGAAAGCTGATCTGGAACTGTACTTGTATCCTTTGGAGATTTGGTCAGACATAGCTATGTTGCCAGGCCTAAATGCCCTATGGCCCAGAAAGTAATATGGATAATTTTTCTAAACCATTTTAGGTATTGGTCCCTTTGCAAATCAGCCATTAATTTAAAAGCCAGTTTTGAGCACAAATTTTTAAAAGCCAAGTGAATGACCCAGAGGTATGGGGGAATTCAGGTGGCTTTTCTCTTCTCTCCCAGCAGAGGAACAGAAGGTCGGGCTGAGGGCAGGAACCAGGAGTTGGTCCAGGAGCAATAGGAGGTGATGAGAACAGGTCCTGGGTGGGAGTAGAGTCAGGCACCCCTCACCCTCTAACTGGGATCCCAGGGAGAAGAACTGTAAGGAAAGTGGGGGTGGAAAGGAATGGAGCCAGTTACTGCTTCCTGGGGATGCAGAGATTGGGGCACACTGTGTCTCAGCAGAAGCTCCTAGTCATTTCCACCAAGTGTGTGAGAGAGGCAGCCCTCCCACAAGATTTTCCCTTCCCACATCACTTCCCTGAATCCCCTTCCTTTCCCCCCAGTACAGTTAAACCTCTCTAATTTGGGATGTTATATTTGAGAAGATGGCCACTCTGAATAAGTGACAAATCTGAATGACAGTGTCTATTTAATGAAATGCATGTCTTCAAAATATATACAGTAAGTAGAACTTGGTGAATAAGGCCCTCAGGGAGCATGCCTTAATGAATAGATAGGAATGAAAAGTCTGTTTGCTGGTATAGGTTAAATACCCCCTCCCACAGACACTTTCCACCACTAATTTGCTTAGCCCACCCTTTCTGCACAGATAAAGGAAAACTCAAGCCCAGTTTTTGTTCAAATTATGAAAAAAATTCCAAATCCACAGGGGTTTGGAGTAATGAGGTTTTGCTGTACTGCCTCCCTCGGTTCCTCAATACAAAGTTCCTACCTGAGATTGGGGGGTGGGCTGGGAGGGTGTTCCAAGAGGCGGAGGGTGGGCTAGGAGGGGAAATACAGGTGAAGCTAGTGGGGTTAGGTTGGGGGTGAGGTGGGAGCTTGCTGCTTTTGAGCTGGTTTCCTGGTGTTACACTCTGGGTTGAAGGTTTGAAGGCCCCTGTTAGGAGTCTGGGAAATGAGTCTCTACCTGATCCCAGAGGATCCTACAGGTGAGAAAAAACAGGAGGCTGGTGGGGATTGTCCTGGGAGGAGCGGGTTGGACATGGCTTATGGAGTGGGTTGGCTAGTGGGGAGGTCACTGATAGGGGTCTGGCATCCAGGCCCCTGCGAAGCGTCTCAATAAGTCCGCGCTCTCCTCTTTGGTATCTTGCAGGAGAGGCAGCTTCCCCCCTTGGGTCCAACAAACCCGCGTGTGACGCTGGCCCCACCTTGGAACGGCCTGGCCCCCCCAGCCCCGCCCCCCCCACCCCGGCTGCAGATCACGGAGAACGGCGAGTTCCGAAACACCGCAGACCACTAGCCCACCCAGCATCACAGACCTTCTTCTCCTTCCCTGTGCACTCCACCCCGGAACAGCACCAACCACCAGGACTGGACGTCACCGAGGGACAGTGGGATTGCCTCCCTGAATGCCTCCTTGGGGGTCACCAATCCTCCACCCCCATTGCACCATTTCTAGGAGGGAGAGCGGTAACCCTCAGCCGCCCTCTCTTCCTTCCTGTCGGGGTGCTGCCCCCTCTCTGACCCCCAGGGACCCTTGCCCCAGGACACCTCCTAACCCACACAGACCCCCTTCACTCCGGGGTGCTACCCCCATCCTCTGCCTCATCGTTCCCCTGAGCACTGGGGGACAGACCCTCACCCCCCACCCTGGGGGTGTGGCACCTCCAAACTTTCAACTTCAGGGTGATTTTTTAGCAGTAACCAGAGCTGACAATCTAACTCCTCTCCATCGCCCCATTTTTGGCCTCCCCTGCCCCCCTTGTAATGGGGAGGGGACCCCGGGTGAGGGGGCCCTATTACCCCTTGATTTCTCAGGAGCGTCTGGGGGGGCTCAGCACGCACAAACTCCTACTCCTCCTACCACTCTTAAATTTATTCCCTCCCCACCCAGAACCCAGATGGGGTGGAGGGGGCCGCCGGGGCAGGGAGGGGGCGGCAAGGGGGGAATGGGAGCTGTCTCCCCTTCTTCCCACACCTGATCTGCTCTCGGCTGGTCCCAGAGCGGGGTGAGGGGGCTTATGCCCCCCCCTCCCCCAGTGTGTTGGGGTGGGGTGGAATTGAGGTTAGGGTGAGGGGTTAGGGTTAGGAGGGTGTGTGTGTCAGGGAGGACAGACTGATTATCTGCCCTACCCTGACACACACAGTCCCCTGCCCCTCCCCTCTCTCTTGGTCTCTACTCCCAGGGGGAGGGGGGAACTTACTCTAGGAAAAGCCATGTCTCTCTCCCCCAGGGTGGGGGGACCTGTGTTGGAGGAGGGGTGTTGGGGGCCCCCTTCCATGACTCTGTCCCCCTGGGGAGGTAGGACAGGGCTGGGCTTCCCTCTCATCCTCCCCCCCCCCAATCTCTTTTCACCTCCCTCCCTCCCGCCAGCTCCACAATTTTTCGGTGTTTCTCTGTACATAGCTCTCTGGCGGGATAGGGGAGGAAGGATGGATGGGGTTTGGGGTGGGTAGGCCCTGGGAGGGGAGATGTCCCTCCCTGGCACCCCCTCCTCCCTGACTGCTGTCTCCTACTCAGCCTTGCCCCCTCATCCCTTCTTGCGTTTGGTATTGAGATTCTTCCCAGATTCCACCCTTCTTTCTTTTGTATGGACAGTTCCCCTTCAGTCCCATCCCTCTACACACATACACCCAGCCGGGGCCAAATTTATACTTATATAAAAGTTGTAAATATGTGAAATTTTATCCCTGTGCCCTTTCCTCTGCTTTCCCCACTTCAGGCCCTACCCCTGGACCCTTTCCTCTCTTCTTTGGCTGTTGTAATTATCTGGGGTTTGTACTGTACATATCGGGGTGTGTGTGTGTGGGCTGGGGGCGACCCCCCTCTGTACAGAGCTTCCTGGCCCCCTCCCCCCCGACCCTCCCCTTCCCCCCCACCCCCTTCAGGGTAGGGAGATGCTCTTCCTACCCGTTTTATTTTGTTTTCTCGTTCTCCCTGCCCCAGTCCCAGCCTTCTCTATCCCCCACCACTGTCCCCTTTTCTCCACTCCCAGCCCCATTTCCTTTTTTTCTGGAGTGTGTGGTGAAACAGAAAAATCATGTTTAATAAACGGAGATTGTTCTTTTATCGCTGCACTGACTTTATTAGCCTGGGATCTCCAGATTGACCAGCAGGTGATGAGAACTACTTTTTAATTGCAATGCTGTGTATTAAACCTGGAACCTTCCACATGCCCCGGAACCAAGCCGCATATCTCTGCCTTGATGCTATGATCTCATTGTCTACGATCACCCTCCCATTCAGCGAGATTTATTCTGTTTTAGAGCAGGGGTTCAGCTCTCCTCTCACCCACTGCTTCACATAGCTCTAAGGAGCAGGGATGGTATTTGATGAGAGTTCCAGTATAAATCTACGTTTATTCTTTAAAAGAAAGTACCTATAAATAAGGCTTATTTAAATTGTTGGTTAAAATTCTTACGTGCGAGTAGTGAAAAATAAAACCAAACTGGTTCCTTAGTAAATCCGGGATCCACGCCCTCTACTTGCCAGCCCAATGATTCTTGCCAGCCTCCGATTCCCCGCATGGAAACAGGACGGGAACACCTACCTCTCATGGTTGGTGGTAGAACACGAAATAATGGGGGTAAGTGCCCATCCCACACAATAGGTACCCAATTAATTTTGCCCCTCTCCGCACCTGCTGGGGGGGCGGGCGCTACTCTTAATTGCCAAGAAACGTAGCTTTGAAGGGCTGCGCTCTACTGAGAACCAGCTCCGGAGCCTCCGCCGCTGCCGGGACTCTGCAGCACCTGACAAGGCCAACCGCTGACGTCTGGGGATCAGCGGCCTCCTACCAGCCCCGCCTTTCTCGCCAGCATAACCAATCATCACGAGGTTTGTAGGACGCCGCTCTCCTATTGGCTTCGGTCCTAGCTCCGCCCTGCGCACGCGGCGGCGGTGACCGACGGAGAGGCCGTGGCTTCCGGCCCGGAACGACGCAGTAGCTGAAAGGGTCTGGAGAAGTCTGATCCGGTTGTGTAACGGTGGGGGCGTGTCGGAGGAGAAGGCTACCGGATCCAGATTCGTGGTGTCGGAGGCTTGCCGCGAGCCTGCTTCTGTGTGCACCCTGAAACGGATCGGAGCGGCGGGGCAGGAGCCGCCCGCGGCTGGCGAGGTCAGGCTTTGCTGAAGGATTACCTCCTCATCTCCCTCGGGGCCTGGAAGTTAAACCCCGGTTGGTGTTTTTTTTTTTTTTTTTCCCAGGGTGAGCGGGACTGATCTGCAGAAAGTGTCACTTACTGAAACATCCAATTGTTAGTTGGGGGCAGTTGTTTGAGAAGACAAGGGGAACTTTGTCCAGGGTTTCTGTGACTCCTGTTTCTTTTTTCCACAGCTTTTGTCTACCCCCAAATTCCCATTTCTTCCCGATCCTCTGGGATTTTTCCGAGGAGCCCATGGATACCTCGACACCTTTACCTCCTGCACCCACCTCCCCGATCTGCAATCCAGCCCCTCGGACAATCCAGATCGAGTTCCCTCAACATAGCTCGTCTTTGCTGGAATCCCTGAACCGCCATAGGCTAGAGGGAAAGTTCTGTGATGTGTCGCTTCTGGTGCAGGGCCGGGAACTTAGAGCTCATAAAGCAGTGTTGGCTGCTGCTTCTCCCTACTTCCATGACAAGCTGCTTCTTGGGGATGCACCTCGTCTCACCTTGCCAAGTGTCATTGAAGCTGATGCCTTTGAAGGGCTACTTCAGCTCATTTATTCAGGGCGCCTTCGCCTTCCCCTGGATGCTCTCCCTGCCCATCTCCTTGTAGCCAGTGGCCTTCAGATGTGGCAAGTAGTAGATCAGTGTTCAGAGATTCTTAGAGAACTAGAAAGTTCAGGTGGTGGAATTTCAGCTCGTGGAGCAACCTCCTACCATGCACTTCTTTCCACCACGTCTTCATCTGGAGGCTGGTGTATTCGCTCTTCCCCTTTTCAGACCCCAGTGCAGTCCTCTGCTTCTACTGAGAGTCCTGCATCCACTGAAAGCCCGGTGGGAGGGGAGGAGAGTGAACTAGGAGAGGTGTTACAAATTCAGGTGGAGGAGGAGGAGGAGGAGGAGGAGGAAGAAGAGGAGGAGGAGGAAGAGGAAGACCAGGGATCAGCAGCTACACTATCTCAAACTCCTCAACCACAGAGAGTGTCAGGAGGTTTTCCTCGGGCTCGTGGATCCCACCCAGTACCCATATCTGCTACTCCCCGCAGGCTTCCAGAGAGTGAGAGTGCGTCACTTGAACCTCCTGCCCCACCTACCGCACTACCCCCCAAAATTTTCTATATCAAGCAGGAACCCTTTGAGCCTAAGGAGGAGATATCAGGAAGTGGAACTCAGTCTGGAGGAGCAAAGGAGGAAACCAAAGTGTTTCCTGGGGGAGACACTGAAGGGAATGGGGAGCTGAGATTCTTATTGCCCTCAGGAGCAGGGGCAACATCTGGGGGAGGGAGTCCATCCTGGAAGCCAGTGGATCTTCATGGAAATGAAATCTTGTCAGGGGGTGGAGGACCTGGGGGAGCAGGGCAGGCTGTACATGGGCCTGTGAAGCTAGGGGGAGCACCCCCTGCAGATGGAAAACGCTTTGGTTGCTTGTGTGGGAAGCGCTTTGCAGTAAAGCCAAAGCGTGACAGGCACATCATGCTGACCTTCAGCCTTCGGCCTTTTGGCTGTGGCATCTGCAACAAGCGCTTCAAGTTGAAGCACCATCTGACCGAGCACATGAAGACCCATGCTGGAGCCTTGCATGCCTGTCCTCATTGTGGCCGTCGGTTCCGTGTCCATGCCTGTTTCCTTCGCCACCGAGACTTGTGCAAGGGTCAGGGCTGGGCCACTGCCCACTGGACTTACAAGTGATTGCTGGGGCCATACACTAAATTGTAGAACAAGATAGCCACTGCTGCTGATGCTTACTTACCCTTCCCTACCCTAGTCTTGGATCTTGTAATCATGTCAAGAGATTAGATATATTATGGACCCCTTATTCTTGGAGTATAGACCTCAAACTGGCAGATTGGAAGCTCAGATTTCTCACCTCAGATTTTTACTAATCACTCTATAGAAAAGTGTTTTATAGGCCATACTTAAATTGATTACTTGCCCATCTTGGACTTTCTTTTTGTAGTGTTGATACCATTGAGGAAACTAGATTTCAAATTAGAAGGTTATTTAGTGAAAGAAGAGTTAGAGCAAAATGAAACAATGATAAATGTTTTTTTTAGTTTCCACAAGAAGTTAAAGGAGCTGGTCTCCAACTAGGATATGTTTAATTTGGAATGCTAGTAATTCAGTGACTAAGCTCTAAGTTTTCCTTTCCCTTGTCATTGCTGGAATGATGTGAGCAGAGTTCTTTTTATGTTTAAAAAAAAAAAGTTCTCCCCTCCCCCACCCCCTATCTCCCAGTACAGGGGATGAAACCTAGGTCCTTTCACACTAGAGCAGTGCTCTACCACTGAGCTACTCCCCCAGCTCCTATGTACTTTTTTATTGAACCCTTCCAGAATCCCTTCAGAGTGAACGTTTCTTTCTCACCAGTGGACACCTTCCCAACATCTTGTTTTTAATGTAGGTGAGCACTTTATCAAGTTGAGCATTCCAGGTGTCATTTCTAGAACCTTCTTTATTAGAGGATAATCCCCCAGCAGCCTGTGCCTCTCGTTTACCTTTGACCACTGATGATTTGTATATTGATCACAGGTGATCAGTGAACTCAGGAGATAGCAACTGACCTAAAATGCTGTCAGAGTAGCACTGCTCTGAACAATTGCCATGGTCAGAGGGACTCAGGGCTAAGACTGCACATGCTGAAGGCTAAGGAGTAACTGTGCAAGGGGAGCACGCCACCTTTTCATTCCACCCACATTTGAGACAGCCCCTCTGTTGAGAGGTGGAGGCATAAATATTGGAATTGGGGTGGA